ATCAGGGGCGGATCTAGGGGGGGGTTCAGGAGGTCAGCTGACCCACAGTTAATATTTGCCGATCAAATCGGCCTCTTTTCAGATCTTGGGTAGGTGGACACTTGGCCCCTCGGATTTACTTGAAAAATGAATAAAAATTGACATTTATCAATTTATAATTTATAAATTATATTATATCGTTTTAGTAGAAAGTTAAGTAAATCATATTTTATTACATACGACGTACCCCGATACCCGGTACCCGTACACCAACGCTGTGCTCATAAAAATAGATTTTATTTACAAAACAAAAATAAGTTGTATCGCTAAATAATAATGGGTCTATACTCTATTGTATATAGTAATAGTAATATAGTATACAAAAATACATAATTGTGTGTGCCGGTTGCGACGTGCGTTCGCAGAACTATTGAAACTATTTATATATTATCCAACGTAAATCTGTAGCCCGTATGACTAATAAGTCTATGGCTAGATAATATGTCTATATTATCTCTTCCTGGCTCTCCCCCGCGGCCCACACCACAGTGATATAATATTCCTTATTGCCATTTGCCATAGTGCCATACAATCGAACTAAACTATTTAAGTTAACAGTCGATTGTCAACAATATACTACTGCCATCACGAGACACGAACGTTCATCATGATTGACGGAAAAGTGTTATGATTGTAATATTCATTATCATTTATTTATATGGACTTTTTATATGTTTGGTACTATTTTGGTATTAAATAAATGATTAGTTTTAAAATTGTAAGATTTTACTAAGTTTAAATCTAAACTCCAAAGTATGGAAATGGAACCATCAGAACTGTGTCAGCCACCTAAAAAAAAATCTCGTCTCTCAGGTGGGGCGAGAAGACTAATAAAAGAAAAAGAAAAAAGTGTAAAAGGAAATAAAAGTATTTTATCTTTTGTTCAATCTTCTAAAAAACAAGGTAGTATTTTAAGTTTCTACTATATTATATTAAATATTAAGTAGTTGTAGTTTAATAGTTAATATAATTTAACTATAACGTTTCATCACCCATCAGGTTATTTTTTTTTTAAACAACCCAAGGAACAAGGTAAGTTTTAGGAACTAAAATTAATTCAGTAATTTCAGTTAACCACCAATTACTTTGAAATGTATTATTTATTATTTGACTATAAATTAATAATTTAAACAATTAAATAGCATACCTAACTAATATTTAGGTATGTTTTCCTACATACATTATGGTACCTACCTATTTATGCATAGGTATATTATATTATTAAAATAAATGAATTTGCCCATTTTTTAGGTCAATCTGTCAACCCACCTATTGAAAAAAATATGATATCAAAATATCAAGTCCCAGTCATAACAAATTTAGACCAAGATGTTGGTGATGTTAGTCAAATTGAAGGTAAATAAAATAAAGCATATTATTAATTTATTACAAATTAAGTATAATTCAATATAATTTTAAATTATAATAATAATTCCTACATAATAAACCTTTTTTTAATAATAATTTTATATTTTATAAATTAACTGATGAACATGAACATTATTATTTCTTTTGTATTTTCATTCCCTGTATATAAAACATTTTTTTATATTATAATAAACTGATTTGCCTATTTTGTAGCTCAATCTGCCAGCTCAACTACTGAAAAAATTACAATAACAAAATATGAAGTCCCAGTTATAACAGATTTAGACCAAAATGTTGGTGATGTTGTTAGTGAAATTGAAGGTGAATAAAATAAAGTATATTATTAATTTATTACAAATTAAGTAACATTTTATATAAATTTATATTTTATAAATTAGGTAACTGATGAACATGAACATTATTATTTCTTTTGTTTTCTCATTCCCTGTATATAATATATTTTTTTTATATTATAATAAACTGATTTGCCTATTTTTTAGGTCAATCTGCCAGCTTAACTACTGAAAAAAATATAACAAAATATCAAGTCCCAGTTATAACCGATTTAGACCAAGATGTTGGTAATGTTGTTAATGCAATTGAAGGTAAATAAAATAAAGTATATCATTAATTTATTACAAATTAAGTAACATTTAATATAATTTTAAATTATAATAATAATTCCCACATTAAATATTCTCCAAATTAATAATAATTTTGTAGAATTATAATTTTAAAGAATAAAGTTAAAGTTTATAATTTTTAAGAATTTAATGACCAAATAATCTAAAATAAATGATAATATGTATTTTATAAAAGTAAATTATAGCATATAAATTCTAGTCCTAATTGTGAGCATTATTCTTTGGATTGTTTTAGAACAATTAGTGATACCACCGCCCTCAAACTCAACCGACTCAGCATACGATTCAGTACAGTCAATTCTGATAGATAAATCTGTAGAATATCCTTCAGATCCTGATTTATTTAGAGACACAATTCTATCAAAACCCCTTATAAGAGCTCTTATGGAAATAGGGCCTTGCCAACCAGGCATTGATGGAAAATATTTTATTTTTCCAAAAAATAAAAATGGTCAAAGTTTTCTTGTAAAGTGGTACGAACAAATAACGAAGTCAAATTTTCCTTGTAAACGAAACTGGTTAGTTTATTCTCCAAATAGCAATAAAATGTTTTGCTTTCCTTGTTTTTTATTTCGTACTGTTTCTCAGCACCATTATCAGTGGTCTGATCCATCCAAAGGTGTATCAAATTTTCGCAAGGGTCATGAAAAAATTGTTAAGCATGAGAAGTCGAACTAACACAAAACTGCTGAGAGAGAATATTTAATACTGAGAACAAGAATTAAAAATGACAGTACCATTATGCATCATATAATTCTAGCAGAAAAAAATGAAAAAGAACATAATCGCAATGTTTTAAAGCGTTTAATTGATGTATCTTTATTTCTAGCCAAAAATGGTCTTCCATTTAGAGGTCACCGAGAAAAGTTTGATTATGAAACACCAAACCAAGGTCTTTTTATTGAACTTGTTAAGTTAGTTTCAAAATATGATGCTGTATTAGCAAAACATCTTGCAGTATCAAATAAAAATGAAACCTATTTAAGTCATATGATTCAAAATGACATAATTAAATCTATGGCACATGAAACTGTTCAGTTAATACTATATGAAATAAAATTGGCGAAATATTTTACTATAATCATTGATTCAACTATAGATATAAATAAGAATGATCAATTTTCTCTGAGCTTAAGGTTTGTTGACCAAGAAGGAAAGATAAGAGAGCATTTCATTTGTTTTGAAGAATTACTAGGTGCCTCTGCTAATAATTATTTTAATATTTTAAATAAATGTATTGAAAAGTATGATTTGGATTTTTCCAAGTGCCGTGGCCAGGCTTATGATGGAGCAAGTACAATGTCTGGTCGATTTAGTGGCTTACAATCAAGAGTAAAAGAGTTAAATCCTCTTGCATTGTATATCCATTGCTGCGCTCATAATTTAAATTTGGTCTTAATTGATTCCATTAGATCTTCCGTTGTTGCAGTTTCATTTTTTGGTACATTAGAAACTTTATATACATTTCTTACCAGCAGTTTACCTAGACTTCATATTTTAAAAGAGGAACAAGCAAAGCAAGTAGATGGTGTAATTTTATCATTAAAAAAATTATCTGATACAAGATGGGCTAGTCATAAGCGAGCAGTAGATTCAGTGTATAATAGTTTACCTGCTATTGTCAAAACACTAAAACAAATAAGCAAAGGCAAAATATCCAACACAAAATCAAAAACAGTTTCAGAGGCACAAGGTTTGCTTTTTCATATTATGAAACTTAAATTTAGTTTTATGTTACTTATGTGGAAAAATATATTAGGAAAAGCTTATATATTATCTAATTATTTACAAAATACATCAATTGATTTAACAACTGCCTTTAATATGATCACATCTTGTTCTGAAAATATTAAATCGATGAGAACAACTGAACATTTTTTAGAAACTCAAAAAAATTCAATTGCGTTGTGTGAAAAATTTGATGGTGCCACAAAGTTTGATGAACAACGAAACAAGAAAACGAAAAAATTTTTCGATGAAATTGGTATAGAGGATGATTTAAATAAATCAGCTGATCAAAGTTTTAAAATTAATACTTACTTTGTAATTTTAGATTCATTTATAAATGTTTTAAATCACAGGTTTGAAGATTTTTCAAATATTGTTCAGCAATTTGAATGTCTTGATCCAAGAAAGTATTTTTTTGAAAAAAAAACTAATGAGAAATCAATTAATCAACTTAAAAAACTCTCTGAAACTTACAAAATTGATATTGATCAAGATGATCTCATCTTAGAATATGAATCATTTACCTCTGTTTATTATCATTTAAATAAGGACTGTGAAGATATTTCTACAAATGATGTTTTGAAATTTATAATAACTAACGATATGATATCATCGTACCCAAATTTATCTACTTTATATAAAATTTTTTATACACTGCCTGTGAGTAGTGCTACGGCTGAAAGAAGTTTCAGTCGTCTCAAATTAATTAAGACGTTTCTTCGCTCTACTATTGCTGAAGAAAAATTGTCAAATCTTGCAATACTTAGTATTGAAAAATGTACAGCTGAAAAAATTAATTTCAATAGAGTCATTGAAACTTTTGCAGAGATGAAAAAAAGAAGGAAACTATTATAATTTTAATAATGAAATAAACACACATACAGTACCGATAAA